AACTTTTGTCTCATCAGTCCACAGAATATTTGCCCAAAAGTCTTGGGGATAATCAAGATATTTTTTGGCAAATGAGAGACGAGCCTTTGTGTTCTTTTTGGTCAGCAGTGGCTTTTGCCTTGGAACTCTCCCATGGATGGTGTTTTTGCCCAGTCTATTTCTTATCGTTGAATCATGAACACTGACCTTAATTGAGGCGAGTGAGGCCTGCAGTTCTTTAGATGTTGTACTGCTTCTCTCATAAAAAAAACAAAAAAAACAACTTGATCCTAGAGAATTAGTTAAATACAGATCAATCTCAAATCTCCCATTTCAGTCAAAAATACTAGAAAAAGGCAGTATCCTAGGGCAGGGTGATTTTTCCGATTTTATAGATTAATTCAAATTTAATACTTTGCCACGATTGTATTTTTTTTTAGAAATCGAGGAATCGCGATTTTAAATAGAATTATTATCAATAGTTAGAATTAGACACTTTGACAATATGCCAATGATAACAGTGAAGAGAAAAAAACGATATCTGACTGTCATCAATTCGTAGCAGTGAATGACGAGGTATCATATCGATCACAAGTACAGTATGGAGTACCACAAGGCTCAGTACTAGGACCACTGCTTTTCATACTTTACATGTTACCTTGGGAGATATCAAGAAACATGGTGTTAGCTTTCACTTTTATGCGGATGATACTCAGAGCTCTACATTTCTTTGTGGCCCGATGTAACATACCAATTCGCTAAACCAATGTAATGCATAGTTTTTTTTTTTTATTTGACCAAAAACCTCTGCATGTAACAACCTAACACACTAATACTTGATGGTTGCTCTGTTAATTCTTCTTCATCAGTTAGGAACCTAGTGTGCTATTTGATATCAATCTTTCCTTTGAAAACCATGTTTCAAGCATTTGTAAAATGGCATTTTTCCATCGTAAAAATATATCTAAATTACTACCTATGGGATGGGTCACGATTTTCGAATATTTGATTAGTTGATTTAATTATAGAATATCAAATAGGTTGTGCAATTATTGTCTTAATTTCCCCATGTTTTCCGTGCTGATGTGGTGGTGACGCGTTCATGTGGCACTGCCAAAAACGCACCTAAAAGCTGTCAAAGACAACAGAAGAGCACATCGTCTCACTGTAGACTTGCGTGGCATAAAAAAAAAAAAAAGACTTGCGTAGCATATAATGGTTACAGTAACTTTGGACGATGTCAAATAAGAGTGCTGTGCGGACCACAAACACCCCCGACTGGGTTAGAGGTGTGGCTGAATCCATATTCAGAAAGGCGCAGAAAACAAATAATGCGTTCTATGGAGCCACTAAAGGGACATGGTTAGCCGCTTGCTAACGGTAGCCTGTTACATTACAGTACATAACATTTCACTTACCACATAAACAGAGTAAGGAGAGATGACTGATAGGATGATGGCGAATGATTTGCATATCCTGAGCACCACTGACAAACATCTAATCTTGTAAAATGTGTGGCAAGTACTGCCGAGTGCTGCTCCGTACGTACGTGTGATCGCGAATCTCGAAAGTGAAAGTAAAAAACAAGCGCGCATTCATAAGCGATTTCAATGCCCCGCATATTAATAACAGCTCCCTGATGCCCACAGTTTATATACAGTGTAATTACCCAACGATATAATTGCGACAGAAGATACTGAAGTATATTTTTCCTCCCATCTCGTATCTATTCCCTTTAGGGATTAAATTTTTTGAAATGGAAATGTCCTAGCCTTATGAGCAGTTGATTTATGCTAACAAAGACTTATGTTAATAAGTGCCGTAATTCGGTTATGTTTGTTATATTAATATGTTTCAGTACGTTACAATCATTATATGGCTTGCGTTAAGGTAGCCTATCTTCTGAATTAAACAGTTTATCATACAGATTGAAAGCGTGAATCCCGTCTCTCTCCATCTCTCTCTGTTTATGGGTGTTTGAGCGTGCTTGTGGGGGAGGGGTGTGATTTTCGAATAATCGAATAATACCCAGCAATTTTCGAATATTATTTTTGCTTGGAATGCCCATCCCTACTCTCGACGCCAAATGCAGAATGCATTGCGTGAGAATTGTGTGATTAGTGACGAACGCAGAGACTAGACAAAACAAAACAAAATGCTGTTCACGAATTAGAAGCACAAAACAAGGATTTGTAAAGAAATGTCGGAGGATTTCGATATAAGCCAAGAGGAGACTGGTTTTCCTTTGCTAAAGTAAGGAAACTTTGTTTCCTTTGCTCCTGCATTTTTCAGAGGCGCGCGTGCGACGCATACGTCACAGTCAGCGGAAGTGAGAAAAGTGTTTATTACGTTTGAAATATGGATATTTATCTTACAAAAATGCATGGATTCGCTACAGGAGGCCTTTATTCACCCCCCCGGAGCCATGTGAGGGACGTTTTATTACGGATGCACAAACTTTATTTCACATCTTCTGAACTGTTGACAACCAACACCCGCTTACCCCATTGAAAGGCTTGGAGGGGCCAGGACAATTTTTAATATAACTCCGATTGGATTAGTCCGAAAGAAGCAAGTCACATACACCTAGGATGCTTTGAGGGGGAGTAAAACACGTCCTAATTTTAGACAAAAATGAAAATTAGCCTGAGGTTAAGAACAAATTCATGTGCGTATGAACGTGCTGTGAATTAGGAGGAACATTTCCGTGAGAAGTTCGAATGTGTGTATGTATATGAATAATCTACGCAATTATTAGTGAATAAGACCCATTGTGACTCTCTCAAGAAGACCAAATGGGTTGATTTCTCCCACCCAGGACAGAGAGTCAAAACCAGACTCCATCCTGAAATCTTTTGACCTCTTCCTCAACAGGAGTGAATTCCTCACCACTCTCAGAAAGGCACAGAGACTGCCTTTGCATTAAAATTAGCATACGGTCATTCCAAAAGATGCCAAGAGGACTTATAACCAAATATCATTCTATTGCATAATTCTACGTCACTTCTGTAACCAACATGTATCTAATGCTCTTATCCAAGATTATTAATACAATTGTGAATAACTATTGAATAGACTTGACTACTGTTGACCAAGTTTGGTGAGAATCACACAAATCCCCTTGGATGAGTATCTAAGGGTGTTTTCACACCTGTAGATCGATTGCTTTGTTCTGAAACAGGGATTAAAATTATTACAATGTTGCTTTTTATTCTTGGTTCGCTTTCACACGGCAATGTTTCTATATATGGACCAAATTTGTTAATACAAGTCATGCGCGAGTAAACTGTTCTCTCATTGGTCAAAGTTCCACGGTTTATTTTCCGGGATTCCACTTAGCTGTCACAGCTGTCATCTGTCAGGATGGAATGACAACAGCTTTGCGGGCTTATTGTTGTTTTTTTTGTAGCTGTCCTTATATTAATTTATCACTTTGAGCAGGAGTCCAGGATTCATCGGGAAAACATTTTTAAAATGCACATACTAGGAAGAAGAGCAATAAGACGGCATTATAAAATGAAAAAGTGTGCTTAGATTTTGAATGGCGAAGACGTGCTCACCCACAGACATTCACATGGTTCATTTTGAAGTATTAGCAAAACAACAAAGTTAATGCTTTTCACAGAACTTATGTAATTACCCATTATACATTGTGATATAGCCTGGTTTGTTGGTCCGTTGGATCGGATTGCTTTCTCACTACAACCGAACCGCTCCAGAGTTCGTTTCCAATCGAGCCGAGACCACCTCGTTCAGGTGATCTCGGACCGATTGTTTTGGCGCGGATCCGAGCGCGATTGCTGTGTTCACATATGCCCAAACGAACCGAGCTAAGTGGGGGGGAAACGCGCCAGGTTCCGAAACAACAGGCCAGGTGTGAAAGCACCCTAAGTATCTACTTTTAAAAAATATACACAAAATCCAAAATGGCAGATTTCTTTTTGGGATGAGATAATGAGGAAATGAAGTAAACCATTAGGCAGAAAATTGATCTTTTTTAAGATACAAGTTCTAATTGGGGGATTTAAACTCTGACATCTGGGAACCACAACCATGAAAGCTTGTGGAGGCTTGTTGCCATAGAATTCACATAGAATCAAATGGATGGGAATATGCATACACAAATCATATTTAAACATGGTTACGCACAAACTATATTATATATACTAAGCTTCATAGTATATGTGGTTATTTCAGCAAGGAGATGGGGTAGGGAATAAAGTGCGAGTATATACACACAGGCGCACGTGCCAAAGGGCTTTTATAAATCTGAAAACTGAAATAATGCAAAATCAGCCTTTAGTTGGTACACACAGTTAGGATAAAATGTATGCAAAGTTTTATGCATGATGCTCTCACCATTCTTTCGAAAGGGTCATCTGTGTGGTTGGCAATATCCAGGAGTTCAGAATATTCCAGCTCTTCACTGACACGCTGTAATAAACTAAGCGGTTCATTGAGAGCCACTGGCATGGAGACCCGTGACAAATCCTTCCCGATGTTGTTGTACAGGATGGAGAGGATTCCGATATGGCTGTTATCAGTGCTGTGTGCAGGAAGCACTGTGCGTCGCCCACTGACCTGAGCATTAGAAGCTAAATCATTTGTGCTGGAAACACTGGCTCTGTACTTCATATTTGCAGTTTCTGAAAAAAAAAAAAAAAGAAATACCATACCAATAAATGTGTGAATGTGCACAAAACTGAAAACACCTACAAATGACACCTGAAGGTAAGGCAGGCACTAGGCACTTTAGCTAATTGTAGACATACTGTGGCCTTCCTCTGGTTCAGAGTTGCTTGTGGTGACATCACTCAATCCAGATTCATCAGATGTTTCATTTTCAGACAAATTCTCACAAACCAGCTCACTGGCATCAAAATACTCTGCTGTAGAGTCTGCTACTGAAGGTGTACGATACAGCTTACGGTCCTGAGAGGGGGTGTCCTGACAACAACAGATTTATTTTAAATAAATAAATAAAAACCATTGACTTTAAAAGTTCAGACGTGGGGAGGCACACACCTGATCCTGGCGCACAGTACAGTAAGACTCGTCTGACGAATCAGATGACAGCGATACAGAGTGAACTCTGGTTAAACGTGACTGCAGCTCAAGCTAAACACAAAAGTCAAGTCAGTAATTAACACAATTTAAGCATAAAAGGCAAGAGACAGCATACATGCCAGACAGTACATTCAGTGTATAATTTAAATTAATGCAGCAAATATCAAGATATAAAATGGTTTAACACACACACACACACACACACACACACCTCTTACTGGATGAACAAGTTATTTTAAAACATAAGGGCTGGCATTCTTTCAATTACCAAGATATTCAGCTTATCCCTTAGTCTGCAGTAACAAAACCTGTTTATAGGTTTTATAAAAAAAATAAAAAAAAACTAGTAGCAGCAGCAGCTCACAGTGTAAGTCAGGAGTGTACTAGTACACCAGCACCATCTTAAACAGGGAGGAAAGATTTACCTCTGAGAGGGTCGTGCACAATGTGGCCAACTGATCTGAGGTTGACTGCCTAAGGTCAGGTCCGGCCCAAGCCTGTCTGACACGCTCACGCTCTACAGCCAGGGATTCATGGATGGATTTTAAAGACGAATGTACTACAAAAGACAAAAGGAAGAATGAAAGAAGATACCAATTTAAATTCAGAGTTTGAAATCAAACTGTCTTGCATTATTGTGTAGACTATTGAGCGCAAAAAAAAAAAAAAAACTCATAGCACCATCTAGCACCCAAATTGTAAGCTTTTAGGTTGTTGTTAATTGCAAGTGGTATCCTTCTAAAACAACTAGAGATGTAAATTTAAGCAAATTCCCAATTAATCCATTAACGGTTGACCTTAATACTGCAAGATACGTCTACCGCAGTGGCATGTCACCAACATTCGGGTTGGTCACTTGAATTTTCACAAATTTTGGGATCCAATGGGATCTCGATGGCACATTCCTGTGGTTCTTCTCCGGAAGAATATTATTTTGTGAAAAGATGCCACTTCAAAGCATACAGCTGCCTCGTAGAGTGATCTCCTTGTTTGTGCCAAGATTCACTTCCACAAACATGATCAGACTTTGATAGATCTCTGAAAAACAACCCCTGGCAGCAGTGGATAAAGTAGCCCAATTCTACAGTAAAATTGTGGACTTGGCAACACTTGCGCAGTGCGCAGTCATACGGAAGTAAACACGGAGGACAGAGCAGGGATCCTCAAATCTGGCCCACGAAATCCACTTTCCTGCAGAGTTTAGCTCTAACCCTAATCAAACACACCTGAGCATGCTAATCAATGTCTTCAGGATCATTAGAAAATCACAGGTAGGTGAGTTTGATCAGGGTTGGAGCTAAACTCTGCAGCGCATTGGCCCTCCAGGGCAAGATTTGAGGAACCCTGACAGAGTAAGCGATTGTGCTTTTATTTACGGTGTGATCTGCTGCAGAAGCCAGCAAAATTACGCACAGGCAATATGAAAAATAAAGACAAGGATGTGACAAGAGTCTTAAAACTTATGATATGAGCCCTCATGTTTTGCTTGTATAGAGTTGTCACTGTAATACTTATGAGCTCTGACACATCACTGTACTTCCACTGACTACCTTTCGCAGTCTTGATAATTTAATATTGTTTATTATTATTATTTTGCCTGTAATAATGCCAACACTCTAAATTTTGGCAAAAAATTTATATTTTTATTCGAATTTTCCTTTTTTTCCATTTCCTTTAACCATTTTGTGTACCTATTGAGATTTATTACACTCAGGACCTTGAAGGGATAGTTCACCCAAAAATGAAAATTCTGTCATTACTCACCCACATGTCGTTCCAAACCCACAAGACCTTCGTTCATCTTCAGAACACAAATTAAGATATTTTTGATGGCGTCTGAGAGCTCTCTGATCCTCCATAGACAGCAATGATATTACCACGATCAACGCACAGAAACGTAGTAAGGACATCGGTAAAATAGTCCATGTGACATCAGGGGTTCGACCGTAATTTTATGAGGCTACGAGAATACTTTGTGTGCAAAGAAAACAATAACAATTTATTCAGCAATTCTTCTCCCCGAGTTACCGTCTTCCACCATTTTGGAGAGTATCCACAGAATGTAATCAACGTAAATCAGCGTTGTTTACGTTTAGCATGCACGTGCTGTCTACTGAACATAAACAGGGCTGATTAAAATGTAATTAATGACAGAATTTTAATTTTTGGGTGAACCAACCCTTCAAGGAAAAATGTCCCCATTGAAACCATTAAAACTACAATTTTTAATCCCAGGGCCATTTAACTATAAAATTATGCGGTCTTTGTTAAAGGGCTTTCATTCTGTTGGCAAGGCTTCAAATTTATCTTTTTTTTTTTTTCTTGTTCCAGGTGGTGCCATTTTCTCAGGTCTGGCCTATAAAACAAATACACTTTTTTTCCTATGTTCTGCTTTCGCTGCATTAGAGCCAGCTGGATAAATAATGCAGCTATAATCGCGTAGGTGTGTTGGTATGGATGTCAGAGTGTTGTTTGTATGCGTCTACTAAAATAATTGCGTGTGTACGCACCTGTAATGTTTGAGAGAGAGAAATCATACTGCATTGCGAATATCAAATCCCCACCGCTGAGTATACCAGCAGAGCTTTGCTGGCATCTAATGGGTAAAGTTTGGTACTGCAACCAAACAAAAACTAAAAGCTAATTTTTCAACCTCAAATTTGGAACAACTCCTTAAGATTTATGGCTTTTTTGTCTAGCAATTTGTCATAAATAATTTGCATAAACCAAAACCTATACACTATAACTTTTTGTTTGTCGTTTTATTATAGGATTCAATTGCATGGCCAGATATTTTCTTTCTGCTGCCTTCTCAAACTTTTGCTGCAGCAGCAGCATTTATTTCTGCCTTGTAAAAGCTTTTAAATTCATTACATTTTTAATAACATCTCTTAATCTTCAGTAAAGAAGTGAATTGCAACGACTCTCGCGAGAAGTGAATCAAACTGCGGCTGTGGAGTTGACAGAGAAGGTTTATATCGAGCTTTGTGAGCCCACTGAACCTGATCTAAACCAGGCTGGGTTTGTTTGGTTTGGTCAACTGTAAACCTACTCTGAAACTCTGAGTTTGTACTGCTAGCTTCATGCAACAGGCCACTGTGCTTATGTTTTGTTTTTTCCCCATTAACCAAACCTTGGAATGTCATTCCGAAAAGAAAAAACAACAACCTTGAATCAGTTTAAATTTATGCAATTTCAATTGTCAATAGGATGAAAATCTCCTCTGCCGTTTTTTTTTTTCGTTTTGTTTTTTCGCTAGGTTACTTTACAACTTAGTTTACAACTTTAAATTGTATTGAAGTATTAAAGTAAACTTATTTTTACTCAAGTATGTTTTCACTTTTTTTTTTTAAATAGACAGTTTATGAGGACACAAATTTGTATAACAACAGGGCTATTACAGCAATAACATGGTTTACAAGGACACTCCCTATGCCCTCGTAAACAAAATGGCTTAAACATACTAAGCAGTGTTATTTAAAAAAAAAACTAATAATAATAATTGCCAGAAGATTTCTGTGAGGGCTATGTTTAGGGGTGGGGCTAGGGGATAAAAAAAATTATAGCTCAGTAAACCAAAACATTATAACCTATGGGGAGTTTCCATAAACCACATATACAAGTGTGTGTATTCGTGAACATGAGTGCTCCATATTGTAAACGTAGTACACTGTTGTACTCCGTATGTTTTTCCCCACAATGCATACCAGATATCGCTTCAATTTATTTATTTTTTTATTTTTATTTTCTAGATCTAGTGTGAGAAGAGTCATCAAGTCTCATGCCATTTAGATGAAGGAAACATTTAAGCATTACTGTAAGTTTCAGAACTCAAAACTTCCTAGTAAGTGCAAAAACAGCTTTTACTGAAACCAAGCTGCCAAACGACTCATTTTGTACTTCCTGCTCTTTATTACGTAATCAGGATGAATATCGCCGCACAAGATGTGCAAGCCCTGCACAGATCAACACCTACTTCTTCAGCATCGCCTCTTTGGGATTTTGGGGTAAAAAAACAAAACAAAAAAAAAACAGTACAGTGTGTAAATTTTCAGTACTCTTTTCATCCCCGGTCATTTTTTCAGACCACTGCGTAAGAGCCAGTTCAGGATTCTTCCTCTTATTCGTGAAGGTTTCAGCCCCCCACCATACAGGTATGAATAGTCTGTATGTCTCTTCTTGGACACATACAGAATTTGTTCTATACTAATTTACAGCAGCATTTAAAATTGTAGAAACAGAATTAATGAGATCATGTACCTTTGTCACACAAGGCACAGATGTCTAACTGCAGTTGCTTTCCTTCTGGTGAGGAGACCGCAGGCGTGGACAGCTGGGAGTAAACGTAATCTGGGATGGACTGAAGGGAAGCAGCCAAGCCTGTTGATGTGCCCAAGTGGCTCGAAGAAAACTGCTCCAAAAGTCAGAGATGGAAGTAGAATTATTACAACAGGAAACAGAAGCAGTAGTTCAGAAATAAAGAGGGAAAGACATTCAACCCAATTGTGTGCTTCATTCACTAACCCTGCGTACATATGTATTTGGACATAAAATGTTTTCATATGAAAAAAAAGACCACTTAAGGGGGAAAAACACTCCTGGTGGCCTAGGAATCAAAGGCGGCATTAAACCAAAATGTTACATATTACTATTAGAAAATAATCCTACATTAACTCTTATTCAGACTAATAAAAATGCAGAGTTTTGCACAGGTTATGGCTGAAGAAACCTTGCCACAGGAGGATTTCACACGCTTTTACATTTAGGCCACATTGAAATAAGGATTGTGAGTGCTATTCGAATAAAAATGACTCAACTAAATCATGTGTGGTCTATTGAAAAAAAAAAGTGCTAATTACAGCCGGTTAACTTGAAGATCTTGCTGTGTGTGCACACCTTTATAGAACTTGAGGATACATTTACATAGAACAACAAAAGGCTGTACAGGAGAAGTTGCGCTGAAATCTCTTACACTGTGTAGTGCTGTCACATCTTAATGTCACTTGTGTTGTTGTACTGTAAGGCACTATTATCATTCTTTCTAGTATTATTGCGATGTTGTTTGGATGCTTAATTGGAGGGGCTGAATATCTGATGCATTATGTCTTCACAGCTTCCACAGAAATATAATTATGCAAAACAATACAGTTTAGATTGTCTTATTTTTTCACTTTCACACAGCACTCCATTCAAGACAAACCCTTGAATCCTAATTTTCATACATTTTTCAAATGCCTGAAGAAAAAGCAGCTTAGCGGGGCTTGAACTTAAGCCACAATTTGTGTGACAATGTGTAACAGTTAGGCCCAATCCCAATTCTACCCCTTAGCCCTTCCCCTTTCCCCGCCCTTCAAACGAAATTTTTTCGGGACCACACTTCAAACGAATGGGTATGAATTATCTCAGCGTAAACCGGCTTCAGGAGCAACATGGCTGCCCGAGCGAACAAAGACACAAATGTAAGCATTTTTGGCATTAATAAAGATTTTAACGAAAAGTAATAATTTGTTTTATGTTTTTTTTTTATTCATGCTTTGAAATGTTACTGAAACATTATTTTGACATTAAATTATGACAATTGCTGTAGTGGAAATACGGTCAGCATGGAAAATGTCTGCCTTTTCTGCACTAGAAAGCTGAAAAATCACATTTTCCACACTGGCCACGAGAACAGATATAGCAATTTATGATACAGTAAGCGTTAACCATTCCAACATGGTCTTAAGTTGAACAATGTATCAACATTCACTACCGAAAATGAAACAAACTTAGTATCGCCATTTCACGTAAAATGATCCCAAATATGGCATGCTTGCTTCACTTTATTTTATCAAATGATCATGTCGCTCAGTTTACAATACTACTAGCCTTTTTAGACTAAAAAAAAAGTGCTGTGTATATTTAATATGTATATATAAAGAGACATACAGTATATATTTAAAAAATATTTACATGTATATATTTATACTCAATTTATATATTATATATAAATATTTAGTATAAAAACAATTTTTCTTAAATATATACATGCATATGTGCATTTATATATACATAATAAATATACACAGTAAACACACATATTAAATACACAAAAAAAAATTATTTTTTTGGATGCAATTAATCACGATTAATCATTGCCCAGCACTAGAAAAATTTATAAATCTCAAACAAGGAATTCCATTATGAACTTACAAAGCCAAGCGATTCGACTCCTGACAGCGTTCGTGAGTGACCCCAGATCTTTCCAGACTTCTTTTTGGGTTTCTCAAGACTAAGATTCTGAAAAATAAGCACCATGTTTACCTCTTTGCTATTTAACACTGCTACTGTCATAAAATAATCACCGTTTGTACTTCTCACATTTGCTTTGTGTTCTGCTGCATGCTGCACAAAGACAACAGATGTCCTGTCCATTCGGTGTCAGATTTACAACAGCAGACTCACCTGCATGCTGATTCGATGTTCAAGGTCCGTGTTTGTGATGGGAAGACCACCCTCATGCCAGTGAAGTTTCTGGATTAAACTCGAGAGCTCAGCTAAATCCAGCTGACACCTGGCAAGTTCTGTGCATGAGAGGCTGAATGTTAGAGGAAGTTAAGCACATTCAAAAATAGTATTTTTTATATGAAATGAAAGGAATTGTGTTCTTTTGGTGTTGCTGTTTTTTGTTTTTAGAAATTGTCCAAATAATATTACATTGAATAACATTTGATGCTACTTTGCACTTGGTCAAATTTGCTACAAAAAGTATACACATATACATATACATATACATATATATATATAACATCAACAGCAGGTTTATGATAACTGCAAACACTGAAGTTTCTCACAACCTTCCTGCTACCAGAATGTTTATTGGTATTGACGACTCCGTTATCACCAGTGTATACCAGAAACTGTGATATTTAAAAATGTGTGCACACTAGTGGTCAAACATGTGGAAAGACCTGATTAACTTTTAACCCGATTAAGTTTTGATTTTAATAATTTTGTTTACTAAATTATTTGCATAGACCATACTGAAGAATTAGTAGGCATGTCCCACACTGGCCCCATATACTCCGGATGAATTAAAAGGTATTAGAAGGTGCATACCTTGCTGGCACACGTCAGCTTCCTGTGTCTGTTTGAGCCAATCAGATACTTTAGTATTTCCTTGAGATGAAGAGGCTGATGGGGAACCCTGCATCTCTGACTCAACCAATGATACTGAGCTCTGATAATGTGGCATCTGGAGAAGAGAAAAATGTACAACAGCTCAATGTGGAAAAATTTAAGGCAGTGAAAATTTAACAAAAACAAAAAAAATTATGACGTTACATAAAGATTGTCTAAAGCAGGGGTGGGCAAACTTTGCCCTTCCAGGCCACTTTCCTTCAGAGTTTAGCTCCAGGGCTGCACGATATATCGAAAATATCGCAAATGCAAATATCGCGATATGCATATCGTAAGGGCGTGCGATATCTGAATCATTTTAATAATAGGCTACTTAAATCAAAACGTTGCAAATGGTCAAAGTTTTAGTTCGACGCACATAACAGAGAATTGCTTGACGTTAAAAAGAGTTAAGTGCAATAAGCTGCAGAAAACAACTCTTTGCCGTCTCGTCTTGCTGTCTGACTCACACCTGAAGCGAGCGCACTAGCCGCATCTCACGCAGCGTCTCGTTTCAGACGGCGCGCGAACACAGAGTTGATTCGTCTTTCGCATCTCCTCATGTTTGAACAGACACATATACACAGAATTATGTCAATAGTACCCGTCCCGACGATCATTCTCGTAAACGCAGTCGGTTAGTTTTAAATGAATGTAAACAGCTAAAGAAAGAAATCGGATGTGTATCATTATACTAGATTCGTGCAGTCGGATTTAAAGGGCCAGCAGCCTATAAATACGTGCTACTGAATATGTCACTAATGTTAATTAAACAAAACAGCTATAACAAAGATTAATCTCAATTTAATTCATAGTGAACACTATGCAGTGTTATTTTACACTTAATTATTACATTTCTGTACCTGAATACTACCGTTTATTTTATCTATGCTTGTAAATAGTGTATGTTCTTTTTTCCCCTTTTCTTTTTTTTTTTTCACTTGCCTTTAATCATGTTTGAACTTTCTCAGACTATAGTTTTTGCTGTGGCATATGAAGAAGTACTTAAAGTGTATGGAAAGCAAAGTCACAATGATATAAAATTAGTGTCATTCATTTTTTTGTCATTGATTGATGTTAAAATGACATGTTCTGATTTGTGACATTACTTTTTATGTACTGCTAAAACACTGCTGGTCACTTTCAGAAGTTGTAGTGATTCTTTCTTTTCCAAGAAAGAATGTGAAACAAATTGGTTACATCATTTTTATTTTAACGCATTTTTCTTCAATATCGCACAGCCCTCGCTCCAACCCTAATCAAACACACCTGAACCAGCTAATCATTGTCTTCAAGACTACTAGAAGGCTACAGGCAGGTGAGTCATATCAGGGTTGGATCAAATCTCTGCAGGAAAGTGGCCTAGAAGGGCCAAGTTTGCCCATCACTGGTCTAAAACAATCACATTTAAGATTGCGTTCTGCAAGTGAACGGCGCTTTATTGTTCATCCCAAAGAGGCACTAAATCACTTTCACAGACTTTTTCATTAACTGTTCTCTCCTGGTGGAATGACCTGCCCAACTCAATCCGAGCAGCTGAGTCCTTAGCCATCTTCAAGAATCAGCTAAAAACACATCTCTTCCATCTTTATTTGACCCTCTAACACTAGCACTCTCTATTCTAATTCTATTCTTTAAATAAAACTTGCCCCTTTTAGACTTGCACTTTATTCATTTACTAACTGCTTGTTTTCTTTAAAAAGAAACGAACACTAGCTTCTCTATTTTTTTTTTATTCTATCTATTTGTTTTCATTTTATTTATTTAACAAAAGCAAAAAAAGAGCCTCTAACACTAGCTTGCTCTATTCTATCTGTTTTCTTTTTATTTATTACATACATAAAAAAAAACCTTGCTATGTATACTGTGTTAGGCTAACAGAGACTTATGGCACTTGCGTATCATTGCTCTTTTGTTGATTTTGATTGCTTCTATTGTCCTCATTTGTAAGTCTCTTTGGATAAAAGCGTCTGCTAAATGACTAAATGTAATGTAAATGTAAGATGAACACAAATGCCCACCATCACTCTGTTTCTCTGTGCAAGACTCGCCATGGCAGGCAAAGTGCTGCTGGTTCCTGTCGAGAGGGCTTGAAGGACCCCGTGGTGCAAGTTTATAGCCTCGCTTTTCTTGAAATGCCGATGGGCAGTCAGTTTGGTCAGCCAGATGTAGAAGATATCGTCACTCTTTGCCTGGAAGGAGAAGACAAGTCAACGCACCCACAAACAAATCGTTACAATTAGAGAGTTAGACACTGCCGAATCTTTAAAATGTGTGTTTTTTTCCCTATGAGCATACATACATGACACCACTCAAGAGACTCTTTAAATTCCTGATGCGCCACTCACAAATAGTCATTAACATTAAAAAAAAAAATTTGGGACAAATATAGGCCTAATGCACATACTGACTTCATCCTAGGCTAGAAGATTGTGTATTGTGCATTTCAGGAATACAATTGTATTTCTGTGGCTTGAATAAAGTTCATGCTTCATATAAAGAGAAATATAATAGATGGAGTGAGCGTCAAAGGTTTCTTTGCTGCGTTGAGCAATGTCCGTTTATCTTTTGAATGCAATGGCCAATCAAAAGTGTTTAAGTTATTCAGGTAGTGGCTCTGTTAGACTGTTGAATCCCCTAGTGTTTGATAAATGCTGCATGTCCAAGACTTTTTTGCGACATGCCATATTGCTTTCATTGAGAAACATTTACTGTTTATTTGCTGGTGCAAAATGCATGGGAATTTTATCATCATTATTGGGGTATAATTATGTCATCATGTTTGGAGACAAGATTTTCTTTATTAAATGCCTTAACGGGTTGACTTTTTTTGAATGCATTACAATGGAGGCGATTATTTGTTAGGAAACAGATGATCACATTGTTAATTGGCAGCCTGTCCACAAATCTTTAACACGTAAACCAAATAACAAATTCGAAATGTACTTTATTTGGAAATAAAAATCAGATATTTGGAAATAAGAGAAACCTGCAACAGGTTGGATTTATATGCAAACAATGATTGTATGTCAAAAAAAACTAACAGCAGAATCAGATAATAAATATTTAAATCAAAAACTGCAACTTTGATAATCTGGTTTATTTGTTTTGGCTAGTAAAAGTTCTGAATGGCTGGTAAATTAATTTAGCAGCCAAATCGGCTGATCGAGAAGAAAAAACCCTGACAATGAAAATCATACCGAATTTCTGTGCAAGCAAATACAAAACACTTGTCGTTTAAATTGTGATAGTCAAAACAAAAACGGTACATTTTTGTTAGAAGATTGATGCATTGTTTTTCCTGAAGCATAGAATTAATGTACTCTTTTAATGGTTTGAGTACAGCCTGGCAATTTGAACACTCTGACCTGGATTTGACTCAGACTCCGCTAACGTGGGCAACTGTACCGATTTACAATATCAAACACTACTACTATAACATTCTTAGTTATACATATACACACCTTAACATGGTACAAGCTGTGGCCAGCATCAAGATCAATGCGCTTAGATTTCCTGTTCACAGACATGACCGCAAGACTAACATCTAAAGCACCGTGAACCTTGCCTCTGACAATCTGAGGATGTGAGAAGTTACACTTATAGAAAATCACTGGAAGCAGATATTTCATTACTACAAAAAGTGATACTAGTTTTACTCACATCCTGTTGAGTCTTTGAATATCTGAGAGTCCCCTTATCCAATACAAAATATCTCTAAAGGAGAAAAACATTGCATTGGGACAGGACACCAGAAGTCATGGTGGTCATTCTTTTCCATGGATATTTTCTTAGTTCATGCAACTCACCTTATGCCAGCCCTGGAGAGGATACTTGCGCTTTTTCATGAGGAATCCCTCACAAATGCCTGGAACAGTGTTATTAGCCATACTCGCTCCTGCGACAGATGCAGAACATTCTGCATCTGATATTACTTCCCAATCCCTGGAGTTCTGTATTGGGAGAAGAAAAAAGCGAGTTACGAATCGATAAATCATTTCATTTGTTTTTAAGAGGAAATTACCAACAACTCAGATGTTAAGAACCAGAACAAAAAGAAATACTGAGAGCTGTTCACTGACCTGTCGTGAGTGGCGTGGAGATCCTGTGCTGCCATTACGGGAGTGTGTGGGTTTAACAGCAGAGATGAGCACTGATTTATCCAGAGTACTCACTGATTGGCTGCTACCCAGAGGATGTCCGTAGTCAGCCATTGATGTAGTCAGTATGTGTTTAGAAGTCAGTCTATTCCAGGCTGGATGCTTCCATCAAATAACAAATGCTCTGAGATGCATTACACAAACATACACATTAGTGGAAATGAGTGGAAACAGCATCTTATAAAAACTCAGAAGCTTCAGAATGAAAAGATTCAGGGAAAAAATAAACATTTAGAATATATTTCAGACGCATTTCTCTTTAAAAAAAAAAAAAT